ATCATTACCTGAAAGTATCATCAAGATTGGGTGAAAAAAGTTTTGCTGAGATTTTAGGAAACTTGTAGTTTTTTGGAAGCTTGGCAACCCCTTTCAATGAAAGTGATTTCCTTCAGTCTTTGCTTGGGGCTCCTGCCGCATTTGTCTAATGGGGACCGAGTCCGGCGAGGGATGATGAGTTTTATAAATACACAGGACACCAAGGTTCTTCATCCAGGAGTCTCTGTTTATTTCTCTAATTTTCCCCTTATATCCCCCAAGCAGCAGGAGTGAAAAATTCCTCAGATAGAGGGGGGGAGAGGGGAGAAATTCGGCTACGACATCTGCCATTGTTAGACACCGAAACTTCTCTTATCAGGGAGTCCACTAGAGCAGAAAAAGGTCAAGACGTTCCTGACGTTACTGTGGAGCACATATGTCTCATGCAGACAAGCAGGAAATCCGCAAGCCTGCTTTCATGGCCTAGTGAGCTGGCCACTTTGACATGCATAACAAGGAACTGAGGGCTGGGTCTCAGGGGCCTGGGAAAGGCCTGCTGGCCTGCTACCAGCAAGTCACCCTCTTTTGTTTTTTGCATGTCAAAGGGAATCAAGTAGCCCCTGTCTTAGGTCTTCCACTGCCCCTGTACTGCTTACCCATCTCTGGGGAGGCCCCATTCCCCTGGTTTAGGTTGCAATGCAAGCATGGAAGTTGCCCGTCACTGGGTACTACAAGATAAGCTCTGGCTGTTATGGCCAGCAAGACATTGTTGTGGTGAACGTTCAACCGCCTCCACGTACAGGACTCATGACCATCACTGTCAAATGGCAGGTGTAGTTGGACCGTAAGATTAGGCATGAAAGATTCTAGCACAGAAGGGCAGGGAGGAGAGGTATGCACAGAGGAAAGATATAGCAGAAATTCTTCTTTTAAGGAGGGTATTTATCTTCAGATCGGCTTGAAATGAATCTCAGAAGGGCGATCATCTGTCTCCAAACGCTGATAGTGAACCTGTATTGGCTTAGAAACTAAGATATTAATTTGATCTTTAATGAATTGTACTATCCTATTTCCAATTCAGGGTTCTATGGCAAGCAATAGAAGGAGGCCCAGTAATGGTCCCAATAAGGGAAGGAGATAAGGCAAAAATCCATTAAATCCAGTCTAGAGAGGGTTTTCAAATAATTTCCTCCTTCTCTTTTCTAGGTCTTTCTGGAGCTGTTTAATTTTTGTGCGAACTATACAAGATTTATTAGCATAAAACAGCACCTCTCCCCAAGGGCCAAACAAATGCCCCCTTGGTTAGAAGTCAGCAAATCTAAGCCCCGCCTGTTTTGGAGAACTACTTCTGCTAGGGAATCTATTTGGTCCTGTAAGTCCTTAATGGTTCCCCACAGGGTTTGTACATCATCTATACGTTGTTGAGATAGGCGGCTGTAGGAATGTATAGCTGTGCCCAGTCCTGCTGTGCCTGTGCCCACAGCAGCAGTTATCCCAAGGCCAACAAGGAGCGGTAGGGCCTGGATAGCTTTCTTATGTCTTCTAACCAAGGTGTCTAGGCTAGGAATGAGTAAGGGTTCATCTCCTAAAATAATCATTATATCAGGAAGCAGTAAAGCTAGAATGCAACCACCAGACCAATTTGCTGGAAGCCTAAGAAAAGCTAAGTTTCCTCCGCACATAAAAACTGTGCCATTAGGGAGACAAATGGGTGGAGAAGGTGAAGAATAATTCTATAATATTGTGCAGTTGCCAAAGGAAGAGACTCCAACATCAACATCATAAGTATTATTTTTCATAATGCCTAGAAGGCATGACACAAAACTACCCAGAGGCTGTACCTTAAAAGGTAGTCCAGATTGACATGTATTATCATCATTTATAGAATAATTAATGGAGACCGCCACTGGCATAACTGACCCCATCGTCATGCAGAGCCAGCAATCACCAGCAAGGGTAGGATTAGTACTGTTAAGCAAAGAAAAGGTAGTTTCTAGGATATCTAATGTATTGGCATCCAAATCAGGAAGCTGGGATTTTGGCAATACCAAGGGATGATATGTAAGCTTAGGGATCTCCGGCTTTAAAAGCTTAATCACCTGAAAATGTTTAATAGCATCAGTGGGTCCTCCTCCATTAGAGACTCCGACAGGGGCCTGCATTGGCCAACAGGAGGGTTTGCCCACGGCACCCTCACATCCCGCCTCCCGTAATTTAGTTTCAATGCCTTCTCCTCCCCGGTCACCGAGAAAAGGAGTAAAATGATTAGTGACCCCCTCCTTCTCAATGGGTTTTAGTTAGGGTGGCCTCAAAATACTATTTTTCTTGATTATTAACACAAATGGAGGCTGATTCATAACAGGCAATGTGCACCGCCGAAGTATAATGACAAGTGGTGGAACAATTTCCAAGGGCCTCAGATGAACTAGGGACAACAAGTCTTGGCTTATTAACACATACCCATTTTGGCTGATTAAATCCTCTGATGTTTTGATTGAGTTCATCCGCCATATAGGCCACTTTAGCCTCACAGTCAACACTTTGGGTAAAACCAGAGGGAGCTGAGTGCTCCAAAAATATACTCATGAATATTCCCAGGTGGAGGGTCAATTCCTCCTTCAACAAACCTGTCCAGAATGAATGTCATAAGCAGGATCCAGCTCATGAGGTGTGTCTTGGCATTCACTTGAAGGGGTGGGAGCATCAGTGGCAGGATCAGCCATCTTGGGAGCTTCATTTTATCTTGAATTCTCATCCACCGGTCTGGTGCAGCACTCCGGGACCAAAATGGGCTTCTCAGTCCCTGGGGGAAAAACACATACAGCTCCCCTCACTCTAGCCAAGAGTGGAGCAGGAGGTTGCCACTTCCCTGTAGACAGATCCTTCCATCGTATCTGTCCTTTTTCATGGTGGGAGAGGAAAAGTGACATTGCGCCGCTGTACAGCCTTCAGCGTCAGTGAGCAAAAAATTTAAAGTGAATAGGGTTATATTTAATAGTGCATGTGGTCCCTGGCAACTCTGGTATATTTCCCCCTCTTTTGTTTTTTGTAAATAGGTTTTAAGATGTTGATGGGCCCGTTCAACAATGGCCTGTCCTTGTGGATTATATGGGATTCCTGTTTTGTGTATAATATCCCACTGTGAGCAAAATTTTTGGAATGTTTGACTGTACATGAGCTGGGCCATTATCTGTTTTTATGCATTGAGGAGTTCCCATAAAGGAAAAGGTTTTTACATAGTATTGTATCACATCTTTAGCCTTTTCTCCTGAATGTAAAGTAGCAGAGATAAAACCAGAAAATGTGTCTATACTGACATGTACAAAGGACAACTTTCCAAAACTAGGAATATGAGTTACATCAGTTTGCCAGATGTCATTTGGTTGAAGGCCCCTTGGGTTAACTCCCAGAGAAGGGGAATGGATAAAAGGTGCACAAGTAGGACATAGGGAGACAATTTTTAAAGCTTGCTCCCGGGAACATCCTGAGCGGAAACGTAAAGTTTGTGCGTTTAGGTGGAATTTATTATGAAGTTGTACGGCCTTATCATACTCAGTTATTGTATATACAAGGTTAGTGGCATGTGTGGCAGCGTCTGCCATGGCGTTGCCTGCCACCAGAGGACCTGAAAGCCCAGAATGACTTCTAATGTGACCTATGTAAAGGGGATCTGTCCTAGCCCATATAAGAAGCTGCACTGTCTATAGTTGTTCCATGATGGTAGATTGTTTTCCAACATAAGGTGCCGTCACAATCGCGGAGGCAAGCCTGGCGATATAGAGACTGTCTGTGAAAATATTAAGGGACACCGAACTATAGGTTTGTAAGACCAGAATTAAGGCTGCAACCTCCAACATTTGGGCCGAGCGATTGGTCACTCTCTTGCGGATGACCCGGGTCCCATCTGAAACGACAGAAAACCCATCTTTAACTCCGTCAGTGAAGACGGTTTGTGCCCCTGGGAGAGGATCCTTTTTTAGGATCTTGGGGAAAATTATTGGACATGTCTTTAGACTTTCAAGGAGTCTGCTTTTAGGGTAATGATTGTCAACCTGTCCCATGAAACTACAGAAGAAGAGACACCAGAGATCATGTTCCTGTCTTAATTTAGAAAGAATGTCTTGATTATATGGCAATATGAGAACATCAAAGGTTTTTCCAAACAAGGCATCCCCCAGATATTTTGTTTTACAAACTAGTTGTATTACCAGGTCATGGAAGTGTACCAGGACCCGAGAAAGGGATGCAGGTAAGTGAACCCAATAAATAGGACCAGTCTGCCAAAAGACCCCCGTTGGAGTGAGTTTTGATGGAAAAACGATGAATAACAAAGACTGGGAATAGTCCACCTGCATCACCTGCATCTCTTGTATGGCTGTCTCTATCAATTTAAGCACTTTTAGGGCTTCTGGAGTAGGCTTTCGCGGGGAGGTGGGTGAGGGTCCTTCTTTTAAAAGATCATACAGGGGTTTAAGTTCCCCAGTAGGGACATAGAGGGAAGGCCGTAGCCACTAAATTTCCCCCAGAAATGTCTGCCACTGGTGCAGGGTTCTAAGCTGACTTACCTGGAATTGAGGCCTCTGGGGAGTGATCCCTATCTTGTTAATAGTATATCCTAGGTAGTTATAAGGATACTGAATCTGCAACTTCTCTGGGGCTGTAATCAGTCCGGCTCCCTTTAACAGGGACTGGAGGACTTCATAAGACCGGAAAAGTTCTTTCCTATCAGGGCCTGCCAACAGTATATCATCCGTATAATGGATGAGGTAAAAGCTTGAGAATTGTTGCCTAAAGGGTCGTAAAATTTCTGCTCTAAAATATTGACACATAGTAGGACTATTAGCCATTTCCTGAGGTAAGACGGTTCATTCAAACCTCTGGTAGGGTTCCCTAAAGTTTGTTGATGGTAAAGAAAAAGCAAAACGTTTACGATCCTAGGGGGCCAGGGGAATAGAAAAGAAGCAATCTTTTAGGTCCAAAATAATGAGATGCCAATCTTTAGGGATAGCTGTGGGGAAGGGTAGTCCTGGCTGCAAAGGTCCCATGGGCTGCATTGTGTTGTTAATGGCCCACAGATCCTGGAGGAGTCTCCATTTCCCAGATCCCTTTTTTATGACAAAAATGGGAGTGTTCCATGGAGAAGTGGAAGGCACCACATGTCCCATCCTAAGCTGTTCTTGAACTAGAAGGGTTGCAGCCTTTAACTTGTCCTTGGTTAGGGGCCACTGTTCTATCCACACAGGGTCATCTGATAGCCAAGTGATAGATAGAGGACATGGCCGTACTTCAGTGGCCCCTAGGAAAAATTTTCCAGCCCTTTTCGGTCCCCAACCCTTTGGGTGACTTCCTCCGTAGGATCCACAGGCGTGACACTTCCCTCATGATTTTTCCCCAGTCCTTTTCCAGGAAGGCATCCCATATCTAACATCATGTAATTAACAAATTTATTACTCCCTTTTAGGGTCTGAGTGGTGAGAATAGCTCCCATTTGTTGAAGCAAGTCTCTTCCCCAAAGGTTTGTGGGGAGTCCGGCCACCACGTAAGGCTGAAAGTAACCACTGTGTCCTTCCTCATCTCTCCATTTTAAAAAAGAGGTGCTTTTTTCTGGTCTAGTTTGCCCAATCCCCTGTAATACAGCTGAGGGATCTTGGAGAGGCCAAGCAGATGGCCATTGTTTTTTAGAGACAACAGAGTCATCAGCTCCTGTATCTAATATTCCTTTAATGATTTTATCTTGTATCTTAATGATTAATTGTGGCCTGGAGTCTAAATGCACTATCTAAAAGGCCTGAGGGCTGCCTGTGGAGCCGAAACTGCCAGCACCCCGAGTTATCTGCAAGGCTCGATTAGGCAATGGTGCTACTGGCAACAATAATAGTTGTGCTATTCTCTCCCCAGGGGGGATGATAACAATCCCCTGGGTTGCCTCAGCAACAATCTTTAATTCCCCATGATAATCACTATTAACTACACCTGTGAGTATCCTTAGTCCTTTATGGAAAGCACTGCCTCTCCCAAAGATCAATCCTACAGTTCCTTCTGGCAAAGGGCCAAAAGTCCCGGTTGTCAAGGTCTGGGGGCCCATCTGTGGAGTTAGTACTGCTCGGGAGGTGGAACTGAGGTCCAATCCTGCACTTCCGGGTGTCCCTCGGGGGAGCTCCCGGACAGAAAGGGGTTGGTCTGAGAAAGGTGACGAAGTCGCCCACTGCCCGGAGCCCCATTCCGTCCCTGGATTGCCCCATACACTCTGGCTTCCGGGGCCCGGGGTGGGCCCCTGTTCCCATTTCCCGGCTGCAAAGGATGTCCCTGAGCATCAAACTTAGAACGACACTCACTGCTCCTATGTTTTCCCTTACCGCACCGGGGCCAGGGGCCAGGGGTGCCTTCTCGGCCCTGTCTATTCCCTTCAGGACAACTCCGCTAATATGTTTCTCCTTCCCGCATCGGAAGCAACCTTTGGGTTGGGCCCTTTTACCATCAAACCCTGACAATCCTGTTTTAAGGGCAGCGGCCAGGACCTGTCCAGTGATATGAGCTCCATCGATATCTTTACAAGCTCGGATCATGTCATCAACACTCCTTGCCCTAGAAGACTTAATAGCAGTTTGGCAATAGGAATTTGCATTTTTGTAAGCCAAATGTTTAATAACTGGCATGGCTTGTTCCAAGTTGGGGAATATTTTTCCTGCCACATGCATTAATTGAGTAATGAAGTCAGAGTAAGATTCAGAGGGTCCTTGAGTAATTTTTGAAATTTTTGTCTCAGAATTAGAAAGGGGCAATGCCTTCCAGGCTTGGATTGCCGCTGTTACAATCTGGGCATATACCCTGGGGTCATAGTTAATTTGTTGATTCAGAGTGGCATACTGTCCAAACCCAGTCAACATCTCCAGATTACGATGTGGAAACCCAGCATCTTGATTGATATGAGCCAATTCTCGGCACCTTTTCTGATTTTCACTTTTCCAAAGTAAGAAATCTCCCCTGGATAACACCGCCCTGCAAAGCTGTTGCCAGTCACCAGGAGTTAGCTGGTTAGCAGAAAAGGCTTCAAAAAGTGTCAAAGTGAAAGGGGCGTGAGGTCCGTAGTTAGTGACAGCCTCCTTCAATTGCTTAATGTCTTTAAAAGCTAAGGCAACATGCATCCTGACTGGTGGCCCATCCTCATTACGGGTTTCTGCCACCGGAAAAGCCACGGCATGTTTGGTGCGCCACTGGACCCCTCCCTGTCTTCGGGGATTGTCTGGATCCCAATTAGGATTATAAGGAGGGGGAGCGGTGGCAGCCGGAGAGGCAGCTCCTGGGGTATTGGAATCTTTCCAATTTGATCTACTTAAGTGACCCTCCAATTCCTCTATTTCCCTCTCTAGTTCTCCTTCCTCGTCGGAAAGAGAACTAAAGTCTCCATCCTCCCCCTCTGGGGCGAACACTCGGAGGCGCTTTTTAGTCCTTTTCTTTGAGCCCTGGTCAGAATTCTCGTCCTTTAAGGACGCAGCCACTTGTTCTTCCTGTACCTCATTAAGGGCTTGTTCACACTCAACAAGTTCTTCTTTGATCTTGACTTTATCTGTCAATACAGCATCTTTTGCCAATCTCCATAGGGAGAAGGTAGCAATGGGTATACTGTCTGGACCACTGTCTCTCAAAAGTTTTTGGAGGTCCTGTTTCACCAGGTCCCAATCAGTGTTATTACGAAATCTCCCTGTCAGAAACCATGAAAAAGCCTGGGCTATAGTTTCAATAAATTCAGTTGCAGGTTTGGTTTTAATTTCTGTTCCTTGCTTGCTTAACAGCTCTTTAACCTCGTTGGCCAGACGAAGCTTCTCTGTTGAGTTACCCATGGTGCGCACCCATCTTTTTCTTATATACTTATTAACCAATCTTCCCCCTTCTCCTAGAAGATGAGCCTCATTCGCTTACAACCTACTTTCCGGATAGATGGGACCTCCAATGTGCCGCGTCCGGCTAACGGGGACCGAGTCTGGCGAGGGACGATGAGTTTAAGAAATACACAGGACACCAAGGTTCTTCATCTAGGAGTCTCTCTTTATTCCTCTCATCCTCCCCTTATATCCCCCAAGCAGCAGGAGTGGAAAATTCCTCAGAAAGAGGGGGGGAGAGGGGAGAAATTCAGCTATGACATCTGCCATTGCTAGAAACCAAAACTTCTCTTATCAGGGAGTCCACCAGAGCAGAAAAAGGTCAAGACGTTCCTGACGTTTCTGTGGAGCACATATGTCTCAGGCAGACAAGGAGGAAAACCGCAAGCCTGCTTTCATAGCCTAGTGAGCTGGCCACTTTGACATGCATAACAAGGAACTGGGGGCTGGTCTCAGGGTCCTGGGAAAGGCCTGCTGGCCTGCTACCAGCAGGAAACCTCAATAGGAAACAAACCATAGACATAGAAATTGGAACTACTTTATTTTGCCAAGTTTCAAAGAGCTACAACAAACCGTGTTTGATTTAGAGTTCCAACTACATGTATCCATACAGGAGTAAACAGAGTGAAACCTAAAAATGAAAATGGTTACTGCAAATGAACGGTTTAGCCTTGAAAAACTAAATGTGGTGAGTCAAGTAGTATTGGAGTACTGATCATTAT